ACTTTAAGCCTTGAAATGTGTTCAAAGACTGAAAAATAAAAGGAAGACATGTCTCGGGTTCCATATTCTAGTGCTATCGGGAGTCTGATGTACGCTATGATGTGTACTCGTCCAGATATTTGTTCTGCCGTAGGTCTGGTAAGCAGGTATCAATCTAATCCCAGAAGAGAACATTGGAAGGCAGTGGAGAGAATATTCCGATATATGAAGGGAACTATAGATTATTCACTATGCTATAGTGGATCTGATTTACTCTTGAGAGGTTACACAGATGCTGATTGGGCTGGTGATCGGAATGATAGAAAATCAACCTCCAATTATGCTTTCTTACTTAATGGTGGTGCTATTTCATGGAAAAGTAAAAAACAAACTTGTACAACTCTTTCAACCACGGAATCTGAATTCGTAGCTTGGCATCTGCAGTACAAGAAGCTATTTGGTTAAAGAGATTCTTTGAGCATTTGAATGTTGCAAATAATTCTAAGGGTCCCATGACTTTATATTGCGACAGTCAGGCGACCATCGCATATACAAAGGATCTTAAGTATCACAGTAAAACCAAACACATTGATATCAAATATAACTTTGTGAGAGACATAGTAGCAATTGGAGAAGTGAATTTACAATACATTCCTACTCACGAAATGATAGCTGATCCTTTTGCAAAGGCCATATCTAGAGACCTGTTTGAAAAACATGTTAAGGCTCTAGGTTTGCATAGAAAATGATGATATTTATGTATTATAAAACAACTTTGTTGTTATGATATTCTCATCATAGCAAGACTATTGAATTTATGTCTCATATGCATGTGATAATGTCTTAAAAATAAAATGTGTCGGACAAGTCGTGAGATTGGCTCTCTCACACGAGCAATCGCCTCTTATTTCAGAGAACGTGAAGAGATAATTTTCACTGTCATGCTATAACTTGTTTTATAAACCAGACAAGAGTCTCTAAGAAAATGAGTTTGAGGATCACTGAAGAGAGAAACTCGGGTTAGACATGAAGAGGTGTCTAGATCAAGGTCTGTACGATGTTGGATAATTAAAAGAAATGAGACATATGCACCAAGATAAGGTGAGAACATCGTAGCACGTGTTTCATACCACGTGTGTTAAGCGACCAATGGGTTAATGAAAGAATGGTTCCCTGCTTCTTCATTGTGTGAGACCCTGAAAAGTTAACATTAATTTTTCATTGGAATACCCTTTGACATTTTACTGTTTCTTGAAATTTCAATCAATATTGCTACTTTAGCATGTCACTAATAGCCATGAATGATTGGGCAGTGCAGTGCATGTCTAGGAAAGCAGTTGATTTGGAATAGGTAGATTCGAGTAGAAAGGGAAGACAATTAAATTAAAATAATCTGACTTGTGTACACAAGCCGGCTATTACAATGACCATATAGATGTCGAATGTAATTGTGTATATAAAGTTAAACTTGAACTCGAGTTCACCACTTAAAGAGGATGAGAGATCGAATGGGTAACTACTGAAGTAGTGAAGTCTGAGGTATTGTGAGTACTGATATCCTCATATTAAAAGTGAATTCTTTCCATACGTGATTGAATTCCTATATAGGGCTTATAAAACCTTGAAGGCAAGCCTTGATGCTCACATGTCGCACGAACTATTTGTCGTATATGAATTGTGTGTCTAGTTGATGTAATATTGGCTTGGGTCTTGTCCACCATGTGCGAGGTGGGAGATGTAAGTTTTTGGGATCGTGGGTCGCCCATGTGAACCGACCCGATCCAATCTTACCCTACTCGTAAACAAAGAATTATCTGATTTTTTAAACAAAGGATGAACAATTGTGTTATAACTGTTCAACCTTATCCTTAAAAGGAGGGGGAACAGTTATAACTGTTCAAATCCTTTTTGAAAAGGAGAGGGAACAGTTATCTGAGAACTGCTCAACCTCTCCTAATAAAAAGGGGAAGTCTTCTGCTTCAAAAGAGAGAGCACAAGAGACATTACGTAGAAAACAAAAGGAAAAAACCAGAAAGAAGGAAAAGCAACCCAACTTTCTAGATTACATCATCACACTAAAAAATATTTAGTTTGTGAACTTTAACCTTGATTTCCTAGTAATATCAAAGGAGACTTGGGGCAGATTCTTTTGGTAGTAACAACAACAATATCCGCTGCGAATTTAAGGTACACAATCCGTTATTTGTGCTCCGAATTATATTACAGTGTCTCAATACCAATGCCACGAAAAAGATGTTTGGCCCCGTAAAAAATTCAAAAATCATCCTATCAGATCTCTTTTGAGTTTAAACTTTAGTCTTGTCACTTGTGATTTGTGAATTACGATCCCTTTTTATTATACATTTTTTATTATTAACATAGTCATTAGAGTTAATGTAGAATTCGCAAAAACTTAGCAAATTACAGTTGGTGACAAAATTCATAGAGCTGGAGCCTGGAACTTAGAACTAGAGTTGTTTTTATCTCTATACAAAATTTTTGGTCAATTCCTTATAATTTTTGTATAATTAGAGATTGCATATTCTGCAATGAAGCTAGTCATACGACATTTATTAGATATAATTTTGAATTTTATCTAGAGTATTAACAATTGGTGCGAAAGTTAGAGAACCGTAGTCTATTTTTGTTGTTATTTGGAAGAAATTAAAAATTAATTTTTATATATAGTTGTTTATGCCAAGCTGACATATAGGATCCACTCAGGCAATTAGAATCTTCCACATAAAGAAAAAGCATGAAGAAAAAAGGAAGAAACTTCAGGGTAGGATATGCACGTTGCCAACTTGGTACGTATGGTAAACAAATCTTGATTTTGTTGTGATTAAATTAGATATTAATTAAATGAAATATATATATATATATATTAAATGCGTAGTGTGATGTTAAATAAACATATATCAGGAAAATGATGTCCAACTATTCAAGAATCAAGATAAGGTCCAACAACACATGAAGACCATGTGGATTCCATTCATTATAAAATAGTAAAGTAATTTCTATTACTTACGCATAATAATTACGTATTTAGCATGATCATAACTCGTGATTCACACCTCAATCAAATTCCGAATAGAATTTTACCAATTTAGAAATGCATAACATACATAAATTGTTAAAGTTACTATATAACCAATTGATAAGTAATTTCGTTCTATGTAGATTAATTAAAGGGTAAGCTAATAGGAGTAATTTGATATAAACGAGTTTGATATAGTCCCACACTTTTCTTTCTTTCATTCAAGAGCATCGATTATAGGATGTAGATTAAAGGGTAACCTTCCGATATAATTGATAATCACAAAATATCATTAGAAACAGTGAACATTATGCTTATAGATTTATTATTATTTAACTTTAGAAACCTCAATCAATTAGGTGAACGTCATGGCATAATGTAACAATATATGTAAATAATTCATACCGTGGAATTACCAACTATTTTATAAAGCAGTAAAAAGAAGAAAAAATATTAACACACTACTTTGCAAATGTTGAGATAGACCAATTCAATATAACATGATGTGATATTATTTGTTTTAGGCCAAAATATACGATTTTTTTAAAAAGGCCTCACATTTAAGAGTATTTCTTTGTGAAACTTTTGTTCATACACCTAACAATTACCTTTTGAACATAGTTTTACATGGCCATCAACAAGACTTTATACGACAATTCACAATTACCTATCAACAAGCCCTCGAACTAAACACCTACCAATAATTACCTCTTGAACTAAGTTCCACGTCGTTCATTAACCTACATCAATTGATGAGGGAAGTGCACAGTTAGCCACTAATAAGACATGTATTTACTTTTAAGCAACTGTTTTTAGTCTTTAGCCACTGCTTTAATAAACTTTACCCGCTCGGACGAAAATACCCTTCTGCTTATAAAGTTCAGGACCAAGTGTTCTTAACTTATGAGCTTGTTACTGTAAGTTCAGGACTAGGTGTCCTTAGTTTATGAGCTTGTAAGTCTAAGTTTAGGACTACTTGTCCTTAACTTTTGAACTTGTAACTCTAAATTCAGGACTACATGTCCTTAACTTTTGAACTTGGAACTCAAAGTTCAGGACTACCTGTCTTTAATTTCTGTGCTTGTAACTCTAAGTTAAAGACTACATGTCCTTAATTTCTGTGCTTGTAACTCTAAGTTAAGGACCAATTGTCCTTAATTTTTGAATTTCCAACTCTAAGTTCAGGATCAAGTGTCCTTAACTTATGAGTTTGTTATTGTAAATTCAGGACTAGCTGTCCTTAATTTATGAGCTTGTAACTCTAAGTTCAAAATTACTTGTCCTTAATTTCTGCGCTTGTAACTCTAAGCTACGGACCAAATCCTTTCAACAACACATCACAATGCATCAACAAGAATTAGAACTCCACCTACAGAGAGTGGGTGAATTCTCGTTCAAATACTTCCTCCTTTCCTCAACAGGCAACTCAAAGAACTTATGTCTAGCTTCTAACACATTATCAAGAACTTCAACAGGAATACCATGATTAATGATCTGACTGTTTCTCTGCTGCATCACATATTGATTCTGCAACTTTTGGGTCATCACAATTTGAGAGATCAATAATGGGTATCTAACTTGAGAGAGAAAAGCGAGGGTTTGGGAAGAAAAGCAATGGAAGAAAGAATAAAAATATTTTTTTATATTAATTTTAATAGAGTAATGGCTATTTTTGCTCAATATTAGAATTGCTGAATAAAAAATAAATACCACCTTAAATATTGGTTACCCACGCCATTTCTACTCAATTGATCTATCAACAAGCCCATCAAAGTAAGTTCTATATGGCCCATAAAACACTTAAAAATATCAAAAAAATTGATTTTATATTGTATACTTAGTTTACTTTTGAAAAACAAGTGCAAAATTTGCTATGTATTTATATCATTTTTAAAGTGTGAGTCAAACTTAAGTGTATATAAGCGTTATATGGCCTATAAATACATCCACGCGTTGCGTTTGAGCAATCTAGTATTTACTGTTACAGCTAATAACACACACACCCAAGCAATGTCTATCACTTCTCAAATCTCTACGCGTGTATCCCCATTTCTCTCTCCTATATATAACCGACCCCCTTCTGCTCTTTCTTTCTCTCCTTTCATTTCCGGCATCTTCTAAAGCAAAGAACTTTCCCCACACTTTTATCGCCATTTCAAGAATCCTTTTAAGATAACCCAAGCTACAAAACGTAAAAAGATCACAGCTTTTTCTTTTTCTTTTCTATTTGGGTTTTCTGGGGTTCAAAGATCTTAACTTTTTCTGTTTTTGTTTCTGGAATTAAAGATTAGTCCATTTGTGATACTGGTATTAAAGATTTAAACTTTTAAAAAAATCTTTTTTTATTATTTTGGATTAATTTGCTTTCGTGAATTGGTTGGTGTAATAATAAGGAGAGTGAGATTTGTGGGTTAAGGGGGATGAGGATGAAGGGTGAAATAGTTGGGTACAAGAGGGAAGTGGAAGAGGAGGAAGAAATTAACACAGAGGAAAATCAAACAGAAATGGTAGGTGGTGGGTTAGTACAGTCTAAGAAAACTGTAGTGGTGGGTTATGCTCTTACCTCCAAGAAAACTAAGAGCTTTTTGCAGCCTAAGCTTGAATGTCTTGCTAGGTAATCTTTTCTTCTTTCTTTTGTTGATTCATTCTCATAGATATTTGAGCTTCTTGAATTTAGCAGTAGTAAATCATTGGGATAAAAATATTCCATTTTTACTTTGTGTGGCTAGCATAGCTGGAGAACATTCTGGAGGGTCTGTAACCTCTGACAGATAGATATTTTTGGTGCTATTTTATAAATATTACTAATTGATTTGCTGGTCTCTTTCTATGAAATGACCCTTAACTAATGCTGTGTTAATTAGTCATAGTGGACTTAGTGAACATTTCAATTGATTGTAAGTGTCTTTGCTGTCAGGTTTTATTTATTCTCCCTCTTTTCCATACAGCACATTTACTATTTGGGGTTAAACATCTTTTTCCATGACTACTGTTTATCAATACTTGTTAAATTTTTTTAACTATGAAAATTTGTGATTTATAGTAATTTTAAATTAAGGAATTGATGTACGTATATACAAAGAAAATTAGATGCACTGATGCTCGCACTCCAACCCCCATTCTTCTAGGAGCAGAGGGATCATTTCCTTCCCTTCTTTTGGGGGTGGGAGGATAGGAAGGTATGGAGGTTGAGAATAAAGGTAAAGGGTTAGGATAGGTAGCCGAGTGTTGTCCTTGTATCCCTTGACTTCTGTTGTTACTTGTTGTTGCTTTCGTTTCGGCTTTCTGATTACGGTACTTACTGTTAGTTTTGTATTTTTGCTTTGGTTTTCCGATTGATATGCTTGTTGTTGTCCTCCAGACCCCACTAGTGGGATTATATTGGGTTGTTGTTGTAGTTGTAGTAGTCTGTTTTTCCTTTTCTCGATGATGGTATTTCTTCATATTCTGGCACCCCGAAGACTGTGTTGATCTAGGCATGACAATGGTGCGGGCAAGGTGGTTTTGGGTTGTCGAAGCTTTACTCCCATCACTGCATCCCCCCCCC